TTAGGTTGAGAATGTGGAGTCTTTGGTCGTGTGTACAGGGTAGGGCATTAGGTTGAGAATGTGGAGTCTTTGGTCGTGTGTACAGGGTAGGGCATTAGGTTGAGAATGTGGAGTCTTTGGTCGTGTGTACAGGGTAGGGCAATAGGTTGAGAATGTGGAGTCTTTGGTCGTGTGTACAGGGTAGGGCAATAGGTTGAGAATGTGGAGTCTTTGGTTGTGTGTGCTTTGTATTCTGCTTTGTGAGAGACAGTGTCGTTAGAGAAATTGAGGATGTTGCAAGTTTTGGGTTCTGTGCATAATGACTATTCTGTGATAAACGAATAAATTGTTGAAGCTATAAATAGGATTTGTATGGGAAGTTTTCTTTTTACTGGATTTTTTTTTTCCTGACCAGAATTTTAGACCAGGCCTCTGTGATGTGTGTATCATTTGTTCTTTGTACAGTTTGTTTGTCTGTTGTTGTTTTTTTAAATTTAGGTTTTTATAGTCAACTCCACTTGTGTGGAACTCGCTTGAGTTGATCTTGGGTTAAGTTGATCTTTTTCTTGGGTCCCAGCTCTCTTCTTCTTTACAGGACCCAACGGTTGAGTGGAACTTCAGATGAGTGGATTTTTTTTGGTTTCCCTCCGAGGTCTTCAACTCCTCTGTTGTCGACTGTAGAAAGAGGAGAAAGATAAAATCAATATTTTAGAAGTTGCATGGAAACAATTGGTCACTTTCAAGGACAAGCGGGCTAACCCAGATTTCAGGGGTTTCCAGAAATCTTGACCTACAGCAAAAGTGGACATAGCGCTACCTAAAGAAGAATTTTGGTTTCTTTACTGTGTAAATTTGTGTTTGGTTATACTTATAGAGGAAACTCTCCTTTTCGTTTAAAGAAACTGAACAAGGGGCAAAAACTTTGCCTTCGATTTTCTCAAAACAGCATTTTTCGGGATAGCCCCCTTGTGCTTAAAAGAAACCAGTTGTAAACAGAAGTTTTATAAAATGAGTCTTTTTGGATTTGTCTTTTCTGAGGATGTGGTTTGTCTGAAGGGACAAGTGTCATTGTTGTCATCACCAGATGGCCATTCCCAAAAGGGGGGGGGGGGGGGATATTAACATGTTCAAATGCTCAGTA